CATTTTTAACAGATTTCTGCAGCCAAAATCGGTTCGAGGTCAGTAAGCACAACCAGAATTCATACATAAGGCACACTCTCGATTTTTGAGAAAATTAAAGGATTATAAGTCCTTATAGTGTGGAAAATACGTTATACAGAAGAAAATAATATATCGTGATATATATCGTTACCGCACGTGCTTCAAATTATACCACGATATGGATTTTAGGCCATATCGCCCAACCCTACCAGCTATGTTGTCAGTTGGTTCATTCAATGTTTATACTGTAAATTCAATCTTGCAAACAGCAGCTGAACCTGAAGAAGAATAAAAACTCGACTCTAATAATCAAACATTTGTTTTGATGCATGCTCAATCATCCAGGTAAGGAAATGCTAGCAGGTTGTTTCTGTTCATCTGAGTGTTGTTTTCAGTGAGAGAAACATTTCTTCACTTCTTCGGTCTTTGAAGAAATAATTTCTCCCACTGAAAATGTAAAATCCAGATGAACAGAACAAACTTTCTTGCATTAATAGTTATTTCAGTGGAAATCAAAGCCACTTGAAATAAAATAATTTAGATTAGAATCTAATTTCAAGATTTCTATTCTTTATTTGAAATGTAAACTCCTCGATGTTCCAAAAACAAGCAAGGCCGAAATGTGAATAATAAACTGTTACACATCGACATGAGAATGTAAACAAAAAGAATAAATAAATATTGATTTTAAACACTGCATCATGCTAATTAGCTAAAAGTTTTTAGCTCACTGCTGTCACAGCATTACAGCAGTGAGCTAAAAACTTTTAGCTCACTGCTGTCACAGCAGTGCTTCTCCTGAATCCTCAGTGACAAGACAGAGTTTGGAACAGAAGCAGAGTCAGCTCAGCTGTAAAAATCTGAGACATTTCAAGTAACCTGCAGTTCATTAGCAGACTGGTATGAATCCTGCTTTTGTTGTTCTTTTCTTTTTCTGTAGATGACATAACCAACAACACCAACAACAAGAATCACCGCAATAACTACCAGGGTAACGATCAGTCCAACAGATCCATCCTGTTTGTCTCCTCCTGTCTGACCTGCAGGTGAGAAACAGGTGTGAGGTGTCAGCTGTCAGGTAGGTGATGAGTAAAGAACAGAACAGAATCCATTTCCTCTTCAAACTGCTGTCAGACATTATCTACTGCACTCTGATCACATCACTCAGACCAGCTGCTTTCTACAAAGTCTCATCAACAACATCTTTACAAACAAACATCAACAACCAGGAAGCAGCTTCACCTCTGATCACACACACACTCAACTCTACTCACTCACCTGGAGGAACAACATGAAGGTGGATGATGCTGATGTGGTCAGTCTTTGATCCTCTCATGAAGACATGACACTTGTATGTTCCAGTGTCATTAATTGTCACGTTGTTCAGAATCAGAGACACGTCTCCATCCTTCATCTGTCTGTCTTGCAGATCCACCCGATTCTTAAAAGATGGATGCTGGTCATCTATATCAAACTGTTCATCGCGGTACAAAAGGACATGCTCTGCCCTGAGATCAGATTTGGTCCACTCTACAGCTATGGCAGGGTTTTTATCTGGAGCTCGACATGGCAGAGTGACGTTCTGTCTGGGCTCAGCTTTGAGTACTTTTTCATCTGAAACAGGAAGAGAGAAGAGAAGGATTGATTTGTTTGCATGTGTCATGGCTGTGTGCAGCAGGCAGGAAAGGAGAACCCAAATGTGGAGGCAGAAGGTGAAATCAAAAAGCAGCTTTATTGCTTGACATGGAAACAAACTAACTAAACTGAGAAATACAAACATCAACTAGATCAGCAAGGCAGACAGAACACACAGCTGGGTGAGGGTATGACTTAACACAGGCCAAGGTAAACACAGGGCTTGAATACACACTGGAGTAATCAGGGAGACAGGAGGGAAACACAGCTGGGAGAAATCAGACTTAACGAGACAATGGAAGCAAAACTAGAGACAGTGGTCTTGTCCAAATTCATGGGCTGCATCCTCCTGAGGCCGCATTTGTAGACCGATTACGTCACAGCGACGC